TGTTATAGTAAATCATAAATCATCTCTAGCAGTGATCCTGTTGGTACTGGTCCAACTTTCTGATCCTGCTAATAAAAGTCTAAGAGAGCAACAACAGCTATAAATGTTCCCTCGAGTACAGTGAAGATCGATTTACCACATCAGATATAAAAAAAAACAAATACACAAAAATCTGCCTATTTTACCATAACATGCCCTATAGGCTAACAATTGTACGTCGCTTTAGATATAAGTGTCTGCCAAATAAATAAACAAACCTTTTTACAAACAGCTGATGATTTCAATATTAAAACTGCGCCTTGCATATGTAGTGGATAAGGCCAGCAAGCAGCCGTGTCCTAACATCCTACAAAAAGCAGGACAAAAGGAGAGAGAATCTGAAACACGAAGCTGCAATAATCCACATGCTGTCATTTAGCTCTGCATACATGTAGATTAAACAACAAAATAGCCTCCTTATGCACCATTGTTCCACAGGTGCGTTTCAGGTAGAGCTCTGATTTAACTAACAATAAAAACGCAGACTGTAAAAGACGATAACAAACACCTAACATCTAATTCTTAGACAGAGGCAGGTGTCGGTTTTTATTATTATAATTTACATTAAAAACAAATGAGCTGAAGAAGCTTGCTGATAAATGAAGCCATGAATAATAACTCCATGCCTTAGGCACTACTATTAAAACTCTAATTTCTTTTGCTGGTGTTTAAATGTATTGTCTGTGATCACTAATGTGACACTTTAAAATAATGAAAAAAAGAAGCATTATATAGTTAGTATTAATTTAAGAGGCAGTCAAGCGGACGAAACATTGTGTTTTTGCTATAGTGATTTGAAACCTGCCACTATTACCTGATGGCAGGTAGAGTACAGGAAACAACCGTCTCAGGAGAAAAATGACAAGTGAATACCCAAAACTGTGCTCAGCATATCCAATTATCTCTACCCAGGCAGACAAATATATATCACCACAGGTTACATGTATTCCTCTGGCTGCTGACATCCACTATGGGCTTCTGATCAATAAGCGTGACTAAAGAAATATTGATACAGACAAATGAAAAGTTACCCCCGCTGACACTCGTCATGAGTGATGTTAGTGTTTAATCAAGGAGGGCGTAACCAGTCCTGCTGTGTCAATGTTTCTCCTAAACTGAACAGGTTTGTCAAAACAACTCGGGTTTTTTCCAGCTGATTTACGTCTGTGACATCTCCTATGTTTGCCAAGAGTATGTGGTGTGTTTGAGGGGATTTGTATTGTAGAAACCATACGGACTTGTTTTTTCTCTACTCTACATTGTATTACGGTGTTATAGAGGGAGAAACAAACGCAATCACATCATGCATTTTCTTAGGATTAAACTGCATTTATCCTTCTTTTTATTAGACTCAAGGCTCTGCCAGACGTTTGCTTTGATTTACGTGGCTACACACATCCACAGATGATGCTTCCCATTTTTCCATCTGTCTGCGTGTTTACTTTGATCAAAGACAGATTAAGAAGCATGTCGTCTGCAGTGAATGCTCTCAGACGTGACCTCCATATACACTTGATCCTCCCAGTCAGCCATGAAACACGTAATTGATTTTCTTTTGAAAAGAAATCACAAATTATAACAGCGACAAAGATCAAGGACTGGCCTTATGGGTTCTTTAGTATTTGTTGTTTCAGATTGTTTAAAGCCCTCCTGTTTATCAATTCACCCCCAGAGAGGATTACAACTCACTAGCTGGTGAAAGGGAGAATATAGAGCAACTGGAGTGAAAATACACGTAATAAAACCATCTAATTTTGCATAAAAATTAGTTTAGCACAGCATGCTTTAATATAAGGCTGTCCAACTTATTGAAAAGTTATTGTGATTGCGGTAGCAAAATTTACAAAGGTCTGCTTGAACTGCAATAAATGAAAGGCTGTTATATTTTCAAGTGACTTGCCTTCATGCTCTGCATACCAATAAAATATTTCACCAATCAGATGAACCCTCACTTCCCTGGATGTGTCCCTCTGCTTCAGATGGTAGCTGAGATGCTAAAGCATTCACAGTAATAAGCATTGTGGAAGAGAAACGGTGCGTTTATTTGCAGAAGGCGTTTCATCCTAATTTTAAACAATGATTTTATCTTTAAAAAGCTCTACTTTAGAGGCAAATGGTAACCTGCAAACAAAAGATGAATATTCAAAGCCAGGTTTGTGGAAAATGGCACTGATAGCATCATTGAAGCTTTTCAGAAGATGACGTCTTAAATTAAACATAATACCTAATATCAGACAGAGATTATGTACTCACATCGCTGCTTAAACAACCCCTCATCCCCCAGATCCCAGACAATAATAAGAGATTATCATCAGGTACTAAAAACTGCTGGCTATGATAAGGATAAGGATACTCAATGGCTTCTCAAAAATATTTGCAAAACATTAAAATCTGACAAGAAATCATGTTCCTGATGCTTCCATGGGCCCATTTCTTAGCAATCATGTTTTAAAAGAAAAAATTTGAAGGCATTTATCTGCAGAAAACAAAAGATCAACCTAAAAAGAGCCAGTGTCTTAATACCTCAAACAAACAAGTTCATATTCATTTTAAACAACACAAAATAGGATTCTGAAATCAACATTGGTGGAATAACCAATACTTCTGCATGTTTTGCATATTATGTGTGTAATATGCGTGTCCTGTGTGTGTAAAAAACAAATGCGACTCAGGATGGATCGCATCAGCCAGGGAATCCGGCGTCACCTGGAACTCGGGGAGCAGCGGTGGAGTAAACAAGCTGGCTGCCACTTAGCAACCAGCTAACGGATGAACACTGCCGCGAGCCGACTACACTGGCTGCATGTTAGCCATCGGCTAGCGGAGAAAAGCTGCTGTGAGCCGGGGAGATGGACGCGAGCAGTTCCTGATAAATTTGACGTGTATTTTGATTTCATTGTTTGTCATTCAACGGTGTAGCCATTCTGTTATTCTTCTTAGTTGGTTTGGCGGTCTCCATGCCTCCAGGGCACACTGCCGCCCTCCACTGTTTCTTTCAGGTGACAGTCAAAGTGTAAATGCGAAACGCGGAGCTTGTGTGTTCCTCAATAGCTACCGTACTTCAAGATGGTGCATGACCATGGAACATTGACCACAGTTTATGCATTTGAAAATGTAAAATTTCAAGCCGAGAGGAATATTTAGAATAGATGTTTGTGAGAAATATTGTTGATAAAGGACAAGTTTGTGAACGGGATACACAGAATTTGATAGTAATAGAACACGCTGTGGCTTTAACATTGCTCATTTGAAGCGGTCTCCACTTTTTCCAGGGCTGTATGTAAGCACAGCTTTTAGGTAAAAAGTTTTGGGGCACGTCTGGAAGAGTTTTATTTGCAGGATGAATGTGTTATTTAATTGCATTAAAGGAAGATGAGCCAAAATCAGCAACTCTTTTCAATATTATCACATTTTAGTTTATCAGCAAATCTAAAATGTTAGGAGTTTAAGTGGACATACTGGTTTGCAGGTGAAAATGGTGATTACAGTTAACTTTAGAGGATTTTTTACTGCAGAATGAATGAATGTCACCTTGCAGCTGATAAGCCAACATCCTATACAAAATGCAAAAATAAGAAAATACCAGAGTTTCTGTGTTTTTACACTAGTCCAGAGGGAATGTGAGCCTAGAGAGAGGTCACAGGGTGGAGGTAAAATTCTGGTCACATATAATACACAAAATTGGTTCAAAAAGTCATCATTCATGCTAAGCACACAGTAGAGTGATTTTCCCTTAGGATGTACATCAGAATACCAGGAACTAAACAGAAGAAGTGAAGACGCTTTTCCAAACTTGTTGATAAATCCTTTAGATTTAAGTACAAAACGCCTCATCTTTATGTGACAACATTATGATGTTATGCATTTTGAAACTGTGCATTTTTTTATATATTAAAATTTCCCAGGGTCAGTGAGGTCATGTTACAACTTCCATTATCAGCAGCTGTGTGCCACAATCACTCACAGACTCTTCTGAATTTATCCAGTCTTTCACAGAAAGCCGATATCTGCTCAAGAACCACACACACATTCATTAGGGACTTTGACCCCTTATCTTTTCACTCCCTCAGCAATCCTTGACATGACTATCAGCAGTCCACTAGAAAGATAATTAAATCTGGACATGGCTCTCCAAAAGTCACATCGTCTTTCACGAGTATTTTAAATTTGAGTTAATATTTCAACATCGACTGGATCAAAGCATCAGGTAAAGCACGAGGAAGACTCTGGGTTGCCACCTGAACTACCTCTGGGATTTCATCACTGGTTTTTCCACCCTCTCTCTCTCTCTCTCTCTCTCTCTCTCTCTCTCTCACACTCACACTCACACTCACACTCACACTCACACACACACACGCGCGCGCGCGCGCGACTATATAAGACAAGCTGCAACCAAGTCATGTTGTAAAACCACTGAACACGGAAGTTCTAGGTTAAAGGAGGTGAATAAATCTCTCATTTGGAGACGTGTGTTCTCTGGACCCCACCTTACAAGGATTACGCAGTGCGTGGAGAATATGGGTCACATATAGATTTCCCTTTATGATGGGAAATCCGAGCTTGTTTTACAGCTGAACCGAGACAGCATGGGGAAACTCGTAGGACGGGTAGGACAGCCCAGAGGAGGAGGAGGGTGTTCGTGCATTCCTTCTTTAACTTGATTCTAGAGGTGTACAGAAAACCATACTAACTCCGGTGAAATTTGAGCTGATTAAAGCGTCTATTTCACCTTTTAGTGCGCACACACTGCGGATCGTGACATAAATGTGTTACCTATTTGCACATCGGGTTTAAATAAAACACCTTTATTTGTTTTGATTAAGTGAACCAGAACTTGCGATGATAGATTTAACTGCAGTTAAATGAAACGTGAAACGTCTGCGTAATGGTGTTGAGTCATGTTCTGCCTCAGATCTAATATGTTTAATAAAATAAGTAACGGAGGATCAACAGATCCTTACCTCTTTAATTTTAGCTCGTCTCTCCCTGGTTTCGGGGTCCACCGGTTCCTGTCCAGTCGCCCCAATCGGACGTCGGTACTCAACGATAGGTAAATTATTGACATCCTTCCCACCTTGACCCGGACCGTCATTCCCAACTTTTTTCTTCTCGTTTAAGATGTCATTCTTTATATCCTCCGGTCGTTTCTGCAGAGTGTCTTTGGCCTCAAGCAGCGCTTGTTCGTGGTCTTTTTTAATTTTATCCAGGACCCTTTCGACGTTCCCAGCCGAACCGGAGTTGCTGCTCTCCAGACCGGTACGGGTGTTGGTCTCCACCGCGGGGGAAGAACGGAAGAAACCTCCACTAAGCAGCTTTGAAGAGTCCGGCAGGAAGAAAATAGCCCCGATGCAGAGAGTAATAAAAGCGCTGAACACCAACAACAAAATAAATTTCTCCGTTAATCTGAAAGAAGTCGGGATGGCAGACTTCCTATTCGGGGTCACGGTGAAAGGCAGAAGAGGTGCAACTGGCATTTTTCCTCTTCTTCCTTTAAACAACTCGAACTGAAAGAGGGAGAAAATGTAGTTTCAACAGTTTAACTCGCCTAGGGGCTCAGCTCTGACTCATTCCGCTCTGAAATCCATTTCCAAACCGTCTGAAACTAAAAGCAGCTGCGGTAGAAGCTCCGTGGAAAAGTTGAGGAGTGAAGCTGCTGTCCATGCCGAAGACCCTCCGCAGACAGAGCGAGTCCAACGGCTCGCGCACACAGGAAGCAAGGGCAGATGGGCGTGACTGACAGGCGTGATGAGCTAATCACATTCTGCCCTGTGAGTGGTGGGAGGTCTGGGGGGCGTGGCCTCTCAACCTTTGGTCTATAAAAGCTGTGAGAGCGCTTTCGGCTAAACCATCACTTAGACTGGGTATTAAACGGAGAATATATATATAAACTTCAATGAAAGAAATAAATTATTACTTTCTTCATACAGTAATTAAGATGTTCATGTTAATAAGGTCTGCCTAATTTGGATTACATAAAAAAATGTGGGTCTCAAAATGGCTGTCATAATTATGTTATGTAATAATGAATGCATGAAGACAATAGTATATCATTAAAGCCAAATCTTGTGCAAGGATTGGCTGAAAAAAATGTTACACATTGATTACAGGATAAAATTACACAATTTTTGAAATGATAAAACAGAAACTTGGGTTTATGTTCACATCACAATCCGTCGATTATTTTACACTATAATAAAATCAAATTTAAATTAAATTACCTGTTAGATTTTAATTGCTACTCTTGCCTACATCTTCTTGTGTTTAGTTCCTCAACATAAATTAAACATCATGAAGGAATATGAACAAACAAAATTTAAATGCCCTCTAGTGCCTGGCAGCAGAACAATTTTTGTCACACCACCTAATGTAAACAAACTGTTTACATTAGGGGGCATACTGTTCCCGTCTAAAACCAAAAAACTACACCTGAGATATTTATTGTCATGCTCTGTGCTGAACTAACCATCTTTGTCTGAGCTTTGTTTGCAGGTGGATATGTCTGGAGAGCTCAGCTGTATCAAATCAGCTCATCAGCGGTCAGGGGATTTAAGGAGCAGCAGGACAACTCACCAGTACCAGATGATACTCAGTCTTGGGTAGTTTCTAGCCCTCCTCCTGATCTTTCTGAAAGATATCATAATTTGTGTGTCTGCCCTTCGGGCAGTTAACTTGCTCTGCCCTCCTGATCCCTCTAGGTTTCAGTCATCTATTCATATTCGCTTTCTACAATATCACTGGAACCATCAATATTCCAGTCCCGCCGTTTGCCCCTGATCACCTGCTCCCCGCCACTCACCGGCCCACCTCCTCGGTCTCCCTGCTCATCCAGGCCTGGCATACCCTCCCCAAAGAACCCTGATCATCCAGAAAACCGTAAGCCCTTTGCATTCCTCATCATCCTCTCGCGTTGTTCCAGACTCTGACCTCTCTTCCTCTCTCAGACCCCCACGGATCCATTTCCTGTCCATCGGAAGCTACCTCTACCGCACCATACAAAATAAACCATTTTTACTACTTCCGACTCCGAGTGGTGACTATTCATGTCGTGGGTTAAGAAATTGCCTTCAAACGTGACATTTATTTACTATCAATTTTGATTATTTTTGGTGTAAACTCAATCTTTCATGTTTTTTTTTTATTGCCCTAATCCATTATTTGATGCTCACTGGGTTTGTCAACACCACTTAAGGTGTGCTATAGAGTTCAAGTAAATGCCACTCCTTTAAACTGTGTCAATTTCTCATTTTCTCAGGAAAGTTTGGTTTTCACATCTGTTTTGGATTCTCAATTCTTGAGTCCTGATTAGTGACTATTATCTTCAGTGCGCACATTTATCTTGTGTGTACGTGTTATTTGCATGTACCAAAACTTCATGTCACTTCACAAGATAATATTACCATGGTGTTTAAACATTTTAATCTTCTGCGTTGTCGCTATATGATCTACTTTTCTCATGAATTAAATGTGAGTGAGCATTTTCCACAACTAGCTGCAATCCCAGATTCTCACAGAATCATCCTTTTTTTCTCCAGCCATTTTACTAACTAATGGAAATGATTATCTTAAAAAGCTCACATTATATGCTTGTCACATTTTTTATGCATCAGGATTAAAAATCTCATGGTTTGTAAACAGAATACATTTCTTGCAATTAAAATGAAAATGATTATCCTGACTATTGAAAACCTCCTGCATCACGTTTGTGCACAGCGATTATTTATATAAATGGACATTAAAAAAAACTCACCTCCAGTGCATCAGTACAGCTGCATATGCATGGATGATCTTTGTCTGCATGCTAATGAATGTGAGAAATGTTATTAGGATTGTATTACTAATAGATTGAAGAACTAGTCTGGTGTATGCATGAAACATGTTTTTTAAATCTGAAAAAAGATGCTGAACCGCAAAATGTGAATTTTATCCGAGAGGAAAGTAAAAAAAATCAATCCGACTCGTCTTCGGTGTTATTACTGATGAGTTTGCGCTCCTGTTTTCATTCTGATGAATCCGTCCCCACCGTGTGATTGGAATGCAGACTTATTTGTTTCCTGCTAAACATTTTGTCAAGCAAATAGCTGTCACACAAAGACGAGGCAGTGAACCGAATGAAGGGAGAATTGTCTGGACTGGAAGCGTTGTCACGTACATTATACACTTCACCTATACTTCACCAGGAAGATGGGAACCACACAGATGGAAAAACTAATCTGCGGGGTGACAGATGCACGCTGCCATACTGAAGCTCTAATTTGAGGATGACAACTTGTCTAAATGGTGACACGCGTCCGTGTGATTAGTTTTCCATTCTGCGATTCAAGCAGAAAATGAAATCCTGGATGAAATGTGCGGCGTTCTAATAGCAAACCTGGAGCCTCTTGTGGGAACGGCTTCTCGTCTCCCTGCATCGTTGCGTGAATGCTTGCTGGTGATGATGTATGTATCAAATAAACATTTTCCCTGTTGAGCTGTTGATTTTTGGTGCGGAGGAACAAAATATCCTCTTGGTTTGGTTCATAAAAACAACAGCAGAGAGGCTCATCCTACTTTTAAAACTACTGCTGCAGAACTGTTAGATGCGAAACGTTTAGCTGCCTGGGTTTTGTTTCAGAGAAGCAGTTGTAACCTTTCACTTTAATGATTTTTCATTTACAAAAGATGTCCATGTCAGCCTTCACACAGCAATTCCAATTATGACACCAAGCAGTTTTTATATGTAGAGAACAATATTTCTCATTTCCCATCATAAACTGTTACAACACTGAAGGCAAACAGTAAATCCACCGACGTCAGCAGTCCTGTGTGATAAAAATATAAATTATCCACCACACTAATGCAACCATGCTTAGAGAAAGTGAGAAATTTGTTCCATCCATAATGTATGTTTGATTTTATATTCATACGCTACTTTGTAGAGGCTGTTCAAAGGAGCTAAATACACAGAGCTTTAAAAACTGCAGCGGGTGTAGTTGTCATTGTAGTTACTTTGCTGTAAACTGGGTTTCAGTCTGCTTTCTGCCTCTTCTGTTTTATTAATTGTGAGAGTCGGCGGCTCCAGAATCAGGCTCTCCGTCTTCTTTTTTGAGAAGTTGAGATTAAATAATGCATAATAAGAGAATTACAGATATTCTATGATGTTGGGACGAGGAGGTCTGTGAGTGGTTTTGGTAGTTGACACAAAAAAAAGGTCAGCTGTGAAGGAGAAAATTTTTATTTCTAATCCTGAAGTCTACAGCAAAAAGGAGGACATGAATCTCCATAAATAGATTATCCATCCATCCATCCATCCATCCATTTTCATCCCGCTTATCCAGAGTGGGGTCGCGGGGGCAGTAGCCTAAGTGGAGAGGCCCAGACTTCCCTCTACCCTGCCACTTAGGCCAGCTCCTCTAGGAAATCCCAAGGCGTTCCCTGGCCAGGTGAGAGACATAGTCCCTCCAACATGTCCTGGGCCTTCCTTTAGGCTTCCTCCCGGTCGGACATGCCCAGAAAACCTCACCAGGGATGCGTCCAAGAGGCATCCTGACCAGATGCCCGAGCCACCTCAACTGGCTCCTCTCGATGTGGAGGAGCAGCGGGTCTACAACCCTACCATCGAGCAAAAAAATAACAGAAGAATCAAATCGTAAGCAAAAGGACCAACATGTACAAAAGGCTTTAAAGACCTGTGGATACCCACCATGGGCAATAAACAAAGGAAAACAACAACAGAAAGAAAACAACTACCAAAACAAAAAGCCAGAAAGCCAGAAAAATGAGAACCAAAACCAGATAACTCTTCCATATACCAAAGGAATTACAGAAAAAAAAATAGCAACAATGAAAAAACACAACATAAACACACCAACAAAACCACACACAACAGTTAAAAGACTAGTACACCCAAAAGACAAGATATCCACAGGAGTCATTTATGAAATCCCATGCAAACTCTGCAATAAAACACACATAGGAGGAACCGGACGCCAACTCAACACACGAACCATAGAACATAGAAAAGGGTGTGAGGAAAAAACAAGCTGAAAACACACAAGAGCAGCAAAACAAGAAGCAGAAAGCCCAATGAAGAAATCTGCCATAACAGACCACTGCACAAGGAAAAACCATAAAATGGACTGGGACAACACAAGGATCGTAACCACCGAACAGCAAAAACATAAAAAATGGAATCAGACGTGGGCGTGGAACCATGAACAGAGACAAGGGGGTCTACACATTAGATCATGCACGGTCATCAGTGAGGAGAACGTGGGCAGCAGAGGGCGACACCATCCTTTGCTGTCCGTAGTTAAACGGAGAAGGAAGTGACGTCGTCATTAGCATATAGCTCTGAAGAAGATCGCAGGAGCGATAGAAACTGTTAACAAGGTAAAAAAAACTTTCCTGTGTTTAAAAGGAGAACTTAAAAAGTGGTTATAAGAAAAATACAGAATGGATATACAAAAGAAGGCATCCTGAATTTTCCTATTAACTTTTATTTCATATTTTTGATCAGTAAATTGATATTTTTTCACGAATTTGCCGTCAGTACATGGAGGGGTGCACATTTACTGTTCGGACTGAAGTTGGGTGAAGACTGGGAGGCCTTTGAGTGCTTTTGGGATAAGAACAATACATGCTTTAACGGTGTGGAACACTGGAAAAACCACTTTTTAATGATTATTTCTGATTAGAATCAGTCACTCAGAGTTTTTCATGCAGGCTGAATATGAATAGTCTTCTACACCTATCTCCTGCATTAGCTTCTGATGGAAAAAAGACAGTGAAACTCTAGGATTTAAAAAGCCTAACAGATCTACGTCAAGCAGTTGCTTGGACTCACCCATCTTGGCTCCCGACGAGGAAGGCTGTTCTTAGTGTAGCATCCAGAATCAGCAGAGAACATCTCGGCTAGCAGAAGCTAACTGTTAGCATTGGCAACTCAACCACACAGCAGAAGCTCCTGTTATTTGTCGAGATAACACAGTGTTAGTCGCATTGTCGTTATCCAATCACAGGCAAGATGTCCCATTATCAGGAAGTAAGAATCCAAATCCTGCCGCGTTAAGCTCTCCTCTCTCCTCTGATGTGACAGATTTGACCCTGCTAATTCAGACGTTTCTGGGCATTTTTTGCCCTGAGTGCGGCTTTCAAGGCATTTATTCCTACCTACCATAGACCACTGCAAATGTATGTGTGGGAAAGGGTTGGGAAACCCTGACTCGTTCCCACATCTTTAAAGTCAGCGTCTCCCAAACGTCTACTAACACTAGGAAAAGATTTGTTGTTGTTGTGAAAAAGGGTTGATTGAGTGGCTTGAAACCTTGACAAATGTTAGCAAAACTGGATTTGACGAGCAAATATTTTCTCTTTCCTGTCTTATTTTGGTAGACTCCATCTGTCTCTCTCTCTGTCTGTTGTTCCCTGTGTTACCTGCCCAGCTGATCTTCAGTTCATCGTTTTTCCTTTTGTCTCGACTGATCTGGTGTGGATTTGTATTGACTCTCTTTCTTTCTCCCGCCATTAGTCAGGTAGTTTGTTTCACCTGTCCTCTTGTGGGTAGGTTACCTGTTGTTGGAGCAAAATTGTGTCTACGGTCAATTAACAGTTTGGACACATTCTGCCTGCTCTCATGCTTTCCTGTTGGCTATAACTCTCACAAAATCATTTAGCTTTCAGTTCCTCTAACTTCCTTTTCAGCTAACTCTTCCATATTTAGCGGATCACCACCATTTCTGTCCTCAAATCACCCAGGTAGAGTATCAGGATTAGTACCGTCATCTGAAACCTGCCACATCCAGTCTTATAAACATCTACTGCCCCCTGGTGGAGGATCTACAGGTGGTGAGTGCCAATTTGACTTCTGTACTCCTGTTCTGTTGTTAAAGAATTAACCTACATAATAAAATAAAACAGATTGTTGTATAAATACCAGACAATAAATTGTTCAGTTTTCTAAACAAAATGTATTATTAATAATATTTTATACTTCTGATTTAACAACAATGTTAGAAATAATATATACATGAGTCACTCTGTTGCAGCAGCTGGAAACACTCCAGCTAAACATCAGTATGTGAAATATGATACAATAATAAAATTAAACAATAACAGAAATCGAAATATTGTCAACTTTGTTTTAGGAGAAAGATTATCCCATTTTATTCCACCAAAATATGCATTTTTTTAAATGTGACTTACAGGCATATCTTTAAGATTCCAAACGGGAAAACTGTCTAACCTTTAACAAACAAAAACCCCAATAACTAGAAAAGATTATTAAAACTTGATTTAATTAGATTTCTACCCACAGTTTATCATATGAATCTGAGTCTCTGCTGTATCGATTGAGGCACGTTCACATGAGTTTTATGAGCTATTATCACTAACGACAGCTGAATGTGCCCTCGACATTCATTACTGATGTAAAATAGGCCATGTGATCACCCAGATGTTTGATGCTTCTATAACTTCTCCTCCTCCTGCCAGACTCCAAATATAACCTCGCCCCAATCTGATTTAACCACCGCGGCCTCATCCCCCCGGGCGAAATGGACTCATTTGTGCAGGCAGAGGAAGAGGAGCCAGAGCAGAGAGGAATAAAAGAATAGAAGGTCCAGAGGAGACAAAAAGGAAAGGGGTCCTGTGGATGGAGGGATATGAGGGCTGGTATGGTGAATAGAGAGCGATGAAAAGAGGAAGCGAGGGGGAAGAAAGACGAGATGTGCTCAGTGAATGAGGTCACTAATTGGGTTGAGACTTGTAGCTCCCTTGCAATCCTTTCCGCTTGTTCCTGACAGAAATCAAATTATTTTGAAATTCTTTAATAAGGGAAAGGAAAATATGTCAATTTACAGAGTGGAGGCTGCGAGAGGCTAAGAGGGAGGGGAGTGTTGCTCAACAGAATAACAAGTCTGGAGTCTGAGGGCATTTAGGAATGTGTTAGCCAATTTCTGCTAAACTTCTAACCTTGTTTCTGCAACATGCCGCTTTTTGCATGTTTTATGATCGCCCACCATCGATCGACAGGTGATGATGTTTTTGCCTTTCTGTCTGCAAGTTTGTTTGTCTGTTAGGAAAATTAAACATCAGCACTGGGTGGATTTGAATGAAACCAGGAGAAATTCTTCACAGGTTGCACATTTACTTCTGGTTAGCTAAGATGGCCACCTTAGAGAAAACACAACATTTGCCACGGCTCAGTCAGCCTAAAACATGTTTACCTACAGATTTATGTATTAGAAGCTGAGACTCTTCCCTCAGACGCACTCTTAAAGACTCCTGTTGCCAATCAAACAGGAAAACACAAAAAATGAACATCACATGGATTGGTGCAGCGTCTGCAGTGATGCGGGCGTTAGCGGTCTGTCATGGTGAAGAGAGAGCTGAGCCAGATGGCAAAGCTCTAGATTTATCGTTGGATCTATGTTCG